GTTCTAGACAGGATATCAAGCAAACTGTGCTTCCATCTGACCTCAAAATGTCTCATGAGTACAGAGCTTTAGGACCATTAGAAACTGAAAGAATCCCAAGCAGACTGTCTGCTTGGGATCTATTGAAGGAAGCTTTACCACCACAAGTAATACTGTGACCAATCCAAAGTATGAAAATGATATTTCTAAAAGGTGATGAATAAAATGAAAATATAGGTTTATTCCTAAATACCAAAACCATGAAAGTCATAACAGTAGAGAAAGAGAAATCCTAAGGTAGTTGTTTTAGCCATGTCATGTTGTACAAGTATACTGTATGTCTGTATCATTTGTTTGTTAATATATATTAATAACTTATGTATATCAATCTAGCAGGATAACACTGTATATCACTCTTTCAATCCTTGAATATTAGCATTGTATCTACCATGTAAATCCTGGATGTTCATGCTGTATATCAATGTTTCAAACCTGCAGGATAACACTGTATATTACTCTTTCAATTCTGCAACACTATATACACACACACAGTTCTTCATATTGATGCTGTATATTATTATTTTAATCTTGCATGTTGACATTGTATATCAATTGTTCAATTCTGCATGTTGACTTTGTATATCCCTGTTTCAATCCTGCATGTTGATACCATATATCATTATTTCAGTTCTACATGTTATCGCTGTATATACACTCATTCAATATACCACACTTTAAAACAAATAATTTTGAAAATTTAATACTATATAAATTGGTTCTCACAAACATCACCCAAATTAGTTCAATAACACAAGAAAATTTAGTATTAAATTTAAATGTAACAAAAAACTTGGGACTTACGCTGAAATTACAACTACAGGTCCATAAGCGCTCCTCTGGCGCCATCTTTCAACCATGTTCATAAGTTCCACAAGAGCATTTGTCGAGGTTGGTACTTTGTGTCCACTTGGCCAACAGGTGATCTGAAAAAGCTGAGTTGTTTTGGGTTCTGCTTTCACACCAGCCATGAGTTCAGTCAGGGACACAACCTTAACAAAAAGGCAATGATGTATGAATTAGGACAGCCAACACAAAGTATGCCTTTTGGTGCTAGATAAGTGAATATGTTAAGCCTACATTCTAATTTATGATCCATATTTTAGTTTGTATACAAAGTTACAAACTTACTGTTTGATAAATTCTTGTTTGAATGTCTTCAGAATATGAAAGATTTCATAAAATATGGAAAATAATTCAACAGGGCACAGTATAAAGTAACCAATGAATTTACATAGTAGGAAAACAAACTTAGTCCTATCACTTAAAATAATTAAATTCAACCCAAAATCTAGGAACAACTATGGTAACTAATAAAACAAAAGGAATAAATGTCAATTGATAGTGTTGATGCATCATCTTTTTTCATATATAATGGCGAGAATAGTAGAACCAGGTGACACAAATATAAATTTTGGCAAGGTAGAAATCATGTTCAGCTAAGACAGTTTCATATTTCTAACAGGGTGGTTGGACTCTGGAATGGGTTGCCTTCGGATGTTGTGTAGGCAGTAAATTTAAGTGAGTTTAAGAGAAAGCTTGATAACTATATGAATGATAAGGGCTGGCTTAAGATTTTTTAAAAAATGTATAATAATTTAGTTTAGAGGGTGGGACAGCCAAGGTGAACTAACAGGGCCCTTGTTGTCCTTAATTATTATGTTATATATGTTATGTTATGGAGAACAAGCAAACAGAGAACCAAACTAAAAAAAAACAAGTTCAAGGAAATAAGCAGCAAAAAACAATAATAATAAGGGGAATAACATGAGAAAATGGCATACTTAAATTTAATTTCATTAAGTAATACGGTACAGAGTCACAATTACTATTTTTAAAAATTGAATAACAATCTTGATAAAAGAGTTAGCACAAAGGATCACATATAAAGTGTAATAAACTTAAAATAAGACCCAAAACTCGAATGCTTTTGAATAGTTGACTATTTGAAAAAGTGCTTGAGTTTTGAGTCTTATTTTAAGTTTATTACACTTTATATGTGATCCTTTGTGCTAACTCTTTTATCAAGATTGTTATTCAATTTTTAAT